TGGGTCAAACTGCTTACAAATCTCCAAGCCTCATAATTAGGGCCAATCCTGCTCCAAAGACTGCCTTTAGTTATCTCCCCCAATCCCTCCTCTATAGTGAACCAATTTCAGTGAAACTCAGATCTTGCATTTGTGTGGTAACAGTGAGCTCTCAGATCAAGTATGTTGGCAATTCATCAAGGAGACTGTTAACACTTCACCAACCCAGTTACCACCCATGGGCCCAGAGGCTCCAGGAGTATAGGTTCCTCTCCAGCACCTTCATTTGTAACCATTCTGAGAGGCTGCAAATCACACAAAAATAATGGGTTTAGGACTGCCCCCACTCTTCCCCCTGGGGAATGGAGTAAGAGAACTCACATTGCCTTTATCAGAGGGGCTTCCTCTCTGGGGGGCTCACCTGAGTTCTTTTCAGCCCCCGACAGAATCAGACAACTCTATAAGAAACCACCTCACTGAAGGAAGAAATGGGCTATTTTCCCTGCCGTCTATTCCCCCTTGTCCTACTACATTTATAGAAGGAAAAGGGGGGCCCATATAATCATGAAAATCTGCTGCCAAGATGCTAGTATCTCAAGAATTGAATTTGTGATTATTTTGGTTCCTGTAATTTCTTCAAGGACAATGGGTAATTGTCTTGCCATCCTTCCACTCCCTTAATACCTCTTCTAGATTTTGGTTTTTGATGTTCCAATTCATAGAGTACCATACCCCACCGTATGCACCACTCCAGGTTACCCTCAGTCCCACACGTGGGATGGGAAGTTGAAAGCAGTCATCCATAGTCATCACTTGAGGCTCACCAAGGGCATCTGTGTCCTTGCGGCAGGGATTCTAAAGCTTTAGCATTTATTAGGATGACCTGAAAGGCTTGTCACACAGGTAACTGGGGCCCACTTTGGAACTTCCGATTCTGGGGATCTGAAGTACACCTTATTTATATTTCTAACAAGGTCCCAGGGGATGCTGATGGTGCTGGACCAGGGACCACATTTTAAGAGCCACTACTCTGGGGAAACGTCTCATTTGAGAACAATGGCCATAGACCAAATACACTGGGGGAAAGGAGGATTTTGTGTAGGTGGCTTTTTAAATGCTCTTCCATTAAGGATGTAGGATTTATGTCCCTCTTGAATCCAGGTGGGCTTCTCATTGCTTAGAGAGCAATAGAATACTGTGGATGTGATGCTGTGTGACTTCCCAGGCTAGGTCATAAATGGCCAAGCAGCTTCTTGGGATGCTCATTCTAGGAGAAAGCAGCCATCATGTGAGAAGACCAGCTACCTTGGGACTGCCATGTTAGAGAGGCTCTGGCTGACAGCCCCAAATGAGCCTACTTTCAGCCATCCCCTCCACGGTGCCAGACACGTGAGTGAAGCCAGTTTGGATTCTCTAGTCCTGCCCATCTGCCAACTGAGCACCACTGAGTCACCTCAATTGAAGCCAAAAGGAGAATTGCTCAGCCAAGCTCTGTCCTAAATCCTAACCAACAAACAGATTCCATGAGATAAAATGTTTTTTTTAAATGGTTGTTGTTTTAATCCACTAAGTTTTAGAATAATTTGTTACTTAGCAATAGGTAATGAATGGTGCTTTAGGTTGGAAAGGTTAGAAAGGAAGTAAGCTACTCTGAATAGGGCAGAGTGCCAAGTCCAGAGGAGACTTTGCTTGGTTTGGGTGCCCTCTGCAGGAACCTTGGATAGAAACTGGCCTTAACTCCTACATGGACTTTTATTTAACTGGCCAGGAGAAACCCAAGTTGAGAGAGGACTTAGTGATTAAAAGGTCCAGTGTTCTCAGCCACGGTAGGGACATGGAATAGGTGGAGGTAGTAGATTGCAGTAATAGCCCTAATCCTCACACCTCCCTGTATCTACGCCTTGCAACTCCTCCCATCATCTGGCAGAATGCACTTTATTTGCCCACCCCTGGATTCTGAACTTGACCCTGTGACTTGCTTTGGCCAATGACACATTAGCAATTGTGACAGAGGCAGTTGTTTCCTCTCTCACTCTAGCATCTCTGTCTTTGCCATGACAATGTGTAGGGCTAGATCGCTAGAGGGTAAGACACATGGAGCCCACCTGAACTGCCCCAGCTGAGCTGGCCAAGGCCATCCTAGATCAGCTGAGTCTGCAAACTGCCAGGCAAATGGAGCCTGGTGAAGATCAGACTGTCCAGCCACACCCAGTCTTAATCACCAATCCAGACTTGTAAGCAAAATAAATGCTTATTTTAAGCCACTGAATACTGGGATACTTTGTTACAGATCACTGTGTGGCAACAATTAACTGAGGACCATACTCCCTGGAGTGATGAACGTACACCACCACTTCCCCATTGAGAGTCCTGGTTCACATCTAACTCCTATTTCCACCCGAGGAAATGGGAGCCAGTTACAGAATGAGCAGCAGAGGATTCCTAGGCTAGTTCTCTTAACGTGTAATTGTATTCAATCCAAATGTATTAAGTACCCATTAGGTGAAAGATACCGAGAATTTTTAAAAGAAATATGATCACTGCCCACCTAGAAGTCTGCAGACTATCAGGAGCCAAGACTACAAGACTGCTGTGGGCACTGCTGGGTGTGGAATGGACGCAGGAGGCAGATCACTTCCAGCCAGTGAGTGTATGTACATGTGTGTGTATGTGTGGCGTGGCATTCCAGATGGAAGCAATTTGATGTGCTAAAATAACTAGGATCTGTCCAGGGATTCAGTTTAACCCCTGCATGGTTCTTAGATTCAAAGCCAGGTCTGCCTTTCCAGACCCAGTAGGGGCCTCAGATGCCATGTGGCTCACTAAAGACATCCTTTAGTTTTGAACTTCACACCTTTTTGAAGCTGAGGTGTTCATCCTAATGAACATAAACACCAAATTCAAAAGGAATTCATTTAGAGAAGCAGGCACAGGCATAAAGGATTCTTAGTAGAACCTTACATTTTTCATTGATTCCTAGTAAGAAAGTAAAACCCACCAAGACATATACTTCTGACCTTCATTTTTTACTTAAATATAGTGATCTTTAAGAGAATAAACCAAAAAAACTTTACACGGCAAATATTTTACATAAATGCAAACATTTTACATAAATGTAAACATGCACATCTATTTCATAATTATGCAAAATAAACTTTTAGGCACAAGATTTTAAAAATCATTAACGAATGAGATAATAAACCGAAGACAGATACAACATAAGCAACAAAAACAAACATTTCATAACGCTTCAATTGGTCGTGTCTTCCAACCTCCTGGTTAAGGCCTGGGTTTCAGAAATCCTACCTTCCTCACCAAACGGAAACATCCAATTTGGCTGTACCTAAGATAACACACTATTATCTTTCAAAATAATGTAATAAATACAACACACACACACACACACACACACACACACACACACACACACCCTACTTAACCAGCCTCTCAATTAGGACAGCAAGGGTTCTGGAATTTTCAAGTTTTCCCACCACTGAAGCACATACATATTAATACCACACACAGGAAAAAAAAATGATTCTGCTATAAAAATAAAAATAGTTAATGAGTGGCATCATCACAGACCTCTGGTTTGTTTATGCTGTTCCCCAAATCACATCTTTACCGCAGCTTGCCATGGCTCCTTGGGCACCCTGAATTTAAGTCTTTATATCTTGCCTAATGACTTAATGATATGGCAGATGTTGTATAGGACAGAGGAAAGGCAATTTTAACAATTCAGCGAGGGAGTTGAAAACCATGCAGATTAGTACGGATAGTTCCCAGATGTCTCCAATGGTTGGCATGTCTGCTCCATTCTACCGTGTGTACTCCACGGGTTGGTCTTCTCTGGCTCCTCCCCACCAGGCTATAAGCATCTGAATGTCTATTCCTGTGGACACCTCAGGGACTAGAGGTGAAAATGACAGTCCCTGCTTTAAAGGAGTTCACACCAACCAGAGCTCAAGCAAGAGGAAGGTCAGTACAGACAGCACTGGGGCCTGGCGGGGGAGAGGCAGGGACAGACTGAGAAAGCACAGATAAGTTCAGTGAGGCTGGCGTGAGGTAACTCATGGGAAGTAGTCTGTGAGGCCAGATTCTTGACTTCCAAAAAGACAAGATTCCTTATTCTGGTGGGTAAAGCTGTAGGGCGAGGGGGAGGGAGCCACCGAAGGCTCCATGCAGAGAACAAAACTGGAGCTGGGGTAGAGGCTAACCACGCAGGGGCAAGGAGGATGGGTGACAAAGGAAACAGTTTGAAGCCCAGAGAGATCAACTCACCAAACCCAGTGCCACATGCAAGCATTTCCTATAGAAACAAACATTTTGACCCAACATGTGAAAAACCACAGTTCTATCTGTATAAATCAAGACTTTAGAAGAAAAAAAAGAGTGAGGCTTAAATAGACATTTTTAGTTCAAGTTCCTGGAAACTGCCCCAGCTTGAGCAAGTTAAGAGCAGTGAAACAATTCCCACATCCAGTAACAATTCAAGTTTCCCAATCCTGACCTTTACCTTCCCTGAGCTGTCATTAGCAAGGAATTATAAAGCAATTATCAATTCATTATGAAGAAATTCCTACCTGCCATTAAATCCACTGAAACCTCTTGAGGGGCCAAGAACCCAGAGTACCAGCGTGTCCCAGTTCCCCATACTGGGTGGGGCAGTGCAAGTGTGCCTCGGGGATGATGGCTCCCGGGCCACACCTCCAGTTCGCTGGAGTCACTGCGCACGCAACAGGTGACTCTGTAAGGTGCAACTCTCACCAAAGCCCCCACCATGAATCAATCTAATTCCTTTCCAGGTCCAGACTGCTTCCATCCACTAGATGGGGAAGCAGAGGCCATCTTTGAGTGGAAGAACCTAAGGAAGGAAAGTCATTTTCAATGTTCTTGATACCCACTGAACCAAAGTAAATGGAAATTTCTTCAGGACATTCAAATTGTATCCATTCAAATTATAGAAATAGGCTACTCCATACCAATCACAGGATAATTTATCACTCATTCACTCAATATGGAACATTTACTAGTGATCCTGTAACAAGAGATTCATTTGGAAACTGCACACTGCAAAAGGCAATCTTGTGACTTTCTTCTAGTTTATCAAAAATACAAATCAGTCTGGGAGTCAGGCACAAACAGTGGTACAAAAGCATGAAGAGAAATACCTTATCTAAGAATGTGCTCATTTCATATTATAGAATTCCTATCTACATTCAGGTTTTTGGAAGCCTGCTGCTGGTTCTTTTGTTCAGAAAGGTTCCTTCACTACACCTCTCGCCCACTCCCACCTCCCCTACTAACATTCACTGAACGGAGAACACTCAGTATGGATCTACCTGGAACTAAAAGCCCCAATTGAATTGCATCTCATGTGTCAGCCAGTGGCTGCATGTTTAATCTGCTCACCCAGCCTCATGTATTTAGGGACTTTATGGATCAGAATTTGAGCCAGAAGTACCCAACACTTTGTCTTCTGGAATCCAATAAAAGCTCTGATACACAACTAGAAGTCCCATGAATAAGAATCTCCGGTTCCAGTTAATAAGATTCAAGGGCAGGAGCAGCAGGAACAGCCAGAGGGGAAGGAGACAGGGCCGGGAACGGCTGTGTGCTTCTCTTATGTGTAAGTCAAGGGGCTGAACTAGCGGAGCTCTGGGTCCTGCCCAGCGGGCACTCCAGGACTCCCTCCCCAAGTCCATTTCTACAGAGGCTTGTCAGGCTGGGTCAGACGACACTTCCTCACCACTTTGTCTCAATGGTTTAAAGTGGTTTTAAAATATTTCTGTGCTACAATTTGAGGTCTCCCTCGTTCTCCAACCCCTCAAAGACCAGGTGTCATTTCACTGGTGCAGACCACTTGGCCAAACTGGTGGCTGCTGAGGTTTACAACTGAATCACTGGCCTGGTTAAGATAATGGCCTTTGCGTAACCTAGACCAGGGCACATCTGTCTGTTTTTCATTAACAGTGTTAACCAAATAGAAATATAATTCTGTTAGTTCTTCTATTGATCTACTTCGCAACATGAGATTGTTCAAAAATTACATGAGAAAATCACCCATCACCACTAAGTTAAAGACTTGAGTATCTGAGACCCCCATGGCCTCACGCGCCTACTAGTCACTGATCCACAGCGTGTCCGTCTCAGCAGTGGGCTCCATGTGAGCGCGGCCCAGTCCGGCGGCAGATCTGTGCACCGAGAAGCTGATTTCGAAAGATCGGCTCTAGTCATCACTGTCACTGCCAGACTCACTCAACTGCAAGTCATTTCCTATAGAAAGAACACAGAATCACACTAAAAGTGCACAATTTAAAAATGGCTTCCCCACAACACTTTGTTGGACTGTCTTCGTTACCACACTACAGGAAAACCACGGCCAACTCAACTTAATTAGGGAGGAAAACCGATGTGGTTCAGTGACAAAACTGATGCAGTCAACGTTTTTAAAGAAATGCCATTCTTGATACCTACAAAGCACAGTGATGCCACGTCCTAGGATAAAACAGGGGGAGCAGGCCAGACAGCTTTTAAATGTGTTAATAGCAAAAAAGTATAAATAACCGACTCACCATCTAGAATTGTTCACATGAAGTTGCTTTATAAAAGCTAAAATAACGAGTTAGGCTTCCCAAAAAGGAAGCTGGATGCTGTTTCTACCAGTAACCGGCTAACCCAGCATCCCCTCTGGGACACCGCTGTTTAGCACGTTCACATTACTTAAAAAAAAATTTTTTTATAACATTTATGTATTTTTGAGAGAGAAAGAGACACACAGAGTATGAGCGGGGTAGGCGCAGAGAGAGAGAGATAGAGAGAAAGAAAGGGAGAGAGACAGAATTCGAAGCAGGCTCTAGGTCTGCTAGGACTCAAACCCATGAACCGCGAGATCACGACCTGAGCTGGAAGTTGGACGGTCAACCCACTGAGCCACCCAGGAGCCCCTGTTCATGTTACTTTAAACCTCAACTCTCAACTAATGAGCTGCAATTACTTTAGCCTCAGATTTTTGTTTGTGTGCAGAATTTAGGTTTTAGTAGTGAAGAATAGAAGTGCTCGGTGTTTTAATCTAATATGACAGAATGACAGGACCCAGTCGATACCACTTGGATTACAACGAAAGTGAACCGCTACATGATGGATTGCTAATCCCTAGGCCAGCCCTTCTGTTTGTGTGGGGGACCCCAGAGTCCTTGAGACCTTTCCAGGAGGCTATTTCCTCTTCTAACTACACACCTGTGTGAGGCCAGATTTTCTTCATATACCTCAACCTAAACAACTTATGGCAACAGACTGAATGCAGGTTTCCACTAAGCCAGATCATAAAGAGATTTATGAAATTTTAAAGTAACGTTACTCTCTTACTAAATATTTTTTGATTGGAAAATTTGTTTTTCATAAAAACGGTATTTTTGTTAACATGTGATGGTTTATCATTGCTATTTTAAATGAATTACTGGATAATTTAAATATTTCAGTTTTAATTTCTAATGGTACTATTAAGTGGATATAAGCCACTTACACAAAAGCTCTCTGGGGTCCTCAATAATTGTTTTAATTAAGAGGTCTGAGACCAGAGAATGTGACAACTACCGTTCTAAATTTAAGGAAGGAAAGTGGGGCCTGGCAAGAGCTAGTGACGCCCAATCAGCTAAGTTGAGCATGATCTCTTACAAAGTAAGATGATGTGCATTTAACACACCAGTGGAACTGGAGTTGAAAATCCAGCTCTGAAATTGCTTATATCAAGTTAAGGTCTTGCCATCTGAAGAGCTGCTGAACAGGAAGACTTGGAGCCATGAAGAGCTAAAAGGATTTCAAGGCACTGGTAGGCAGATTAACACCCACTGTGCCATTTCTTCTGCTCTTTCGTTCTAGGAGGAAAAAATAATTCAGCTGTCTGGCGCTCTCCCACAATACCAAATTCCCAGTATGGAACTTACTATTCCTGGCCAACTGAGAATAGCGGCAAAGCATACCCTGACATCCAGAGTGTCAGCCCACAGAATGGGACAGCAGACAATGTCCTCGATTGATATCTTAACAGTGTTGACCTCACTCAGGTAGCGTTTGTCCAGCAGGAGTGGTTTTGCCTCCCAGAGGACATCTGGCAATGTCTTGAGATATTTGGGGTTGACACAACTGGGGAGATGGGAGGAGGAAGGGCACCTACCGGGGGAAGGCCAGGAATGCTCTCGGCCATCCTGCAATGCGTTGGACGGCCCCCACAACAAAGATTTGCCTGCCCCACAATGTCTGCACTGGTGAGGTTGAGAACGACCGCTACCTGGCCCACAGTAGTAGGGGCACTAGGTTAGCTTCCCCACTATTGCCTCCAGACCTTCCAAACTCCTTGAAGGCCGTCATGCCAGACGAAAGCACTCACCACGATACTGGCGAGAGAAGGTGTAGGAAACAAGCACTCTCCCTACCTCCAACACAAAGAAATCGGTTTTTGTTGTCTTTCTCCGCTTTACTTTAGTATCAACTGTACGGAGAGCCACCAAGATACTGCAATGCCCTTCCTCTTCCTCTTGCCAAAGGCTAGTTGGTTTCCAAATATACCCTAATGGCTCAGCTTCCAAAGCCTATGGGCTGCAAGACACCACAGTCTGGACAACTGTGTTCTTGGGACCGTAAAAAGACCTGGAAGCAGAGGACACTATGATGGAAGGCATCGCCTCTAAAGCCTGTAAAGCCTGGTAAATGCAAAAACAAAGAGCTGAGCTATTCATGTTTCAGCATTTTCGAAAATTCACAGAAACTAATTTGAGCCGGGGATGGGAGGGAGGGGAGAAGAAGAAACTTTTTAGTTTTGTGCTTCCCCAACATCCCCGCACCCTTTTATTTTTTGTAACTGTTTGGTACAAAACAGTCCTTAGTCCTTTCTGCTCCACACTCTGTCAGGACGCTTTCTTACGCCTGAAATGTCTTCTGGTTTATAGACTCGGGTGTAAGATAAGCAGAAGCTGCATCCCTAGCCTGCCAAGCCCCCTGCTCTGAGCCAGGACAGGGAGAGCACACTCACTGAGGGTGTTCATGAGCTGGTTGCTTCCCTGTGGCCGGCTGGTCCCATTGGCGACAGCCGGCCTGCTGTTGTAGGGCTGCTGGAGGGCAGGCTGTGGAGGAGACGCCGGGCCGGTGTCCTCGCCCTCGCTGCTGGAGCTGTCGTCGTCACTTCCCGACGAGCTCTCTGAGTCTGATGAACTGCTCCCACTGCTGCTGCTCATCTGTTCAATGATGTCAACCTCAGCCCTCAGCTCTGGAAGAAAATGACACGATGGGGATCAGCCAGTAACCACTCTCAAGGTCGCACGCTGCCTTCTTGTAAACAGTGAACTGGCAAAACCAACAGCAATGAGGAATGACTAAAATTCCTGCTTAAAAACGTATAAACAAAATGACTAAAACCAAAATGAACAAGATAAAACTGCCTTCAGAGAGAGAGTGGAAACGTGAACTTCACCCCAAATTAAAAAAAAAAAAAAAAAAAACTGTTTCAGATACTGACGGTTCTGTGTAAACTAAGCCTATTTGCCTTATCTACTTAAAAAAAGATTGTGAATTATGAGATTAAACCCCAAATAAGAGGAACGTTATGCCAAGGGGCTTAAAAATATTTGACTAGGAATTAGAAGATCTGGGTGCTTGTTTTGGATCTACCTCTAACCAGCAGTGAGACCAAGTGTGAGTCAGTGAATTTTCCAAGACACTTTGAAAAACTAAAAGGCCAGAGCAGACAGCCTCTGAGGTCCTTTTGAGCTTTCCTGTCCCACAAAGAAATTGAGGCATGCAGGAGGAACCATGGTAACTGAAGGAAAATGGGTGAACATTTCCTCCTCTGCCCTCAGTATACATTTCACTGACAGCCGTGCCTGTCATTTTCTACAGAGGTACAGCAGGGAAGGAAAAATATGTTTTACCTAACCTTTTCAATGTCCCTGAATACATTAAGGATACATCAAGAAAGATGCCAGATTCTCCCGTCCAAACATACCACGTGATTTTTAACAAGTATGGCTCCTTTAAGCAGTAACGGGCAATAACTAACCTCTGAGTCCAATTCTTGTTCAACTAATGTGAAAACTTTAACAAACAGCATTCCAATATCCGTAGAAAACAAAAACAGAAACAGAAAACAAAACAGGAGGCTCAAAAACGTGCACCATGCAGAGAATGATTCTGTTGACTAAAAGTCGGCACCTCTACAAGGTAGAAAAGGCAAACTTCTCAAGAACAACTATCTTTCCCTGTTTACTACTACTGCTACAGATTGAATTTTGTTTTATAAAACTTTACAAATCTGAAATACAACACTTAACCTCATAACTTCCTAAGAGTCTGGACAACTGAAACCACCCCCTCACTGTATGGGGAGAAAGCCAAAGTGATCTTGTTCTCCAGCTTGCATTGGAGAACCCGACTAGATCTCTAGGTATTTCTAGGCCATGTCCATTTCCAGGTCCCATGGCACTCTCGTGTTTACACCCTTCGTGTTAGTACAAAGCAATGGTCCTGGTATTTTAAATGTCCCTCTGACCTAGATACTATACTAACACTGACATACCTAGTTTGCACCCCAACACATTGGAATTCTCCTCTCCGAAAGCCTTAAAGGAACAGCATATAGACTTCTGGATGGCAGTCATGCTTGTTTAAATCCTGGGCCTCTAAGAAAAGCTGCAAAGACAGCCACAACTCAAGTCACTATTCCTGGGTCCCCCTTGTCAAACGAGAGAAGTGGTGACAGCTCCCACCCTCATCACCTCTGGAATGAAGTCTGCAAAGTATTTTTTCTGGGCAGAGAACACCCATGTCATCAGTGCCCATGTAATGTCAATGTAAATAGCCTTGTGATCGCCGCAAAAGCCTCAACACCCAATTCCAAGTTGCTTTCAGTTCCAGAAAGTGCTTTCTACCTCTTTTGATGTCATCCAGCTGAGGTTCAGGTGAGGGGTTATCTTTCAAGGGAGACGTTTTGGGTCCAATCGGAGGCTTTGTTGGAGCTCTGAATGGCATAGGTGGTGGAGGTGGTGGTGGCTGAGATGGCTGTGGGGGACGAGTGGGCTGCTGTTCCATCCGGGCTTGGATTTTACTGCTCCCCTCAGCTCTGAAATGAGATACAGACATTAAATTGGAGGGCCAAAAACAGGAGTCCTTAAATCTGTCCAGGTAACCAAGTACCTAGAGGTCTCTACACAACCCTGTGTTCTTTACAGACTACTTCAAAAGACTGACGTTTATAATCTTATCCCATGATCTACTCATTCAACAACTGCCTACTGCATGCCGGTACTGCACTACGCACCAGAGACACAGAGATGAACAAAACAGACCTGCTGACCTCCAGAAGCTCACATTTTATAACCGGCAAACAACACCGATATGCAGGACACAACGCGATCATGAGAACCCATGGTACTAATAGACAATAGGACTACCTGACTTGTATACGGTATAAAGTTATAGTCACACGTGTACGAGTTACTAAATGAATCCAGCTCTTGAAATACTGGATATGTGGCACATTTTTCCACGATCTAGTTACTACTGCTTGTTCATCTTGTCCCATGCCAGCTTTTGCAGGTGGACAAGCCTAGCATTCCACCCCATCAGAAGAAATTCTATTCATTAACGCTTTCTTTTCTAAATGGACGAGCCCATTTTGGGCCTTTGAACTTTGGGGTGTACACAGATCAACTGAGCAGGTCCTGAAATTCTGCCCGTTAAAAAGCATCCAAGTGATCAAATGCTGATAGTCCACAGATGACACCAGTAGTGAGAGAAATGCACAACCGTCAGCTGTTGGGGAATCAGCGGCGGCACCTGGTTCGGGGAGGTAATTAGTACAAATCTGTCCCAGGCAGGAGAGGGGCGGGGGCTTGGACGCGCATGCCCAGGGTAGGGCTCTGCTCTGATGCTGGACTCCAATAAGTCAAAGGCTCGCTCGCTCGTCTGCAGTCTCCTCCTCTGTTTTTCTTTTTAAAGGAAACAGTAGCAGCTTTCTAAATGTTATTTGTAACATTTGGTAGGATAATGCATGAAAGCATTTGGCATAGTATTCAGCACATGATAGCCCCTCAATAAATGGTACCTACTTTTATTTTTTTTCTGGAATAAGTAAAAACAAAAATGGCTTGAAGAAACCGAAAAATATCACATTCTCTTTAAGATTTTTAGGACTATATTACAATAATTGCTGTATCACAACGTAAAAAACAGAACCACTGGGTTGCTTCTATTCATAGAATCGTGACTTTAAAAGCTAATTGGCGGGGCGCCTGGGTGGCTTAGTCGGTTAAGGGTCCGACTTTCGCTTAGGTCATGATCTCGCGGTTCGTGGGTTCGAGCCCCGTGTTGGGCTCTGTGCTGACTGCCAGCTCAGAGCTTGGAGCCTATTTCGGAGTCTGTATCTCCCTCTCTCTCTGACCCTCCCCTGCTCGCGCTGTCTCTCTCTCTCTCTTAGAAATAAATAAAAATATTAAAAAAAATAAAAAAATAAAAAAAATAAATAAAAGCTAATTGGCTTTGTATTACAAATGTAATGCCTGTTGAATTAAAGAGAACCCACTAATTAAAAAATAGGCAAAACTTTATTTTGGTGTTATAAATACCTCAAGTGCATCTATACATTTAAATCTTATCCCCTGAGGGATATTTGAACAATCAGGAGATTAATAAAATAGATTTAATTATAAAGTATATCCCTTTCCCCCATGGTTTCCAGGTTTCAGGTCTTAAAAGCATTATTTCTTTTTACTGCATTTGAGGAAGCGATATTTTACTGACTTGTTCAGAAGACACAGAGTTGTTGAGATTATCTATAGGACAGTGAATACTCAGATGCTCATGTCCTTGTAAAACAAATGAACAGAAAATGCAAAGATCTAGAAACCCCGTAACAATCTGTATCTAGTCATTCACATACCTTGTTTTCTTGACCTGAATGCTGCTACTGAGTTTTTCCAGCACATATTCACCAGTGTCATGATTAATAATAAGCACACAGTCTTTCTGATAAGGCCGTTTGTTCCCCTTGAACACAGTCATTGGTGGTGTGGATCCCTATATGCCACAAAAGTGGAAGATCAAACTAGATGTACCAGTTATGAATATTAAAACCGAATTTACAAGTGACTTCATGACTATCAGAGCCACTCAAACAGAAAAGAATAAACTGATTTCTATTTTAACTCCTCTGGCTTCCTAGGCAAAAAGAAGTGGGAAATAATAATATGGCAAGAATCTGTAACTGTGCAATGACTTCTCAGTAATCAAGAAATATAAATTTTCAAAATTACCATTTTTTTAAAGATTCAAAACATGTTACAAATAAAGGCAAGGTGTGAACTGATAAAAATAGACTAACCATTACTTGATACTACACTGAAGAGAACTTTCATTATGAGAAGTAAAACTAATAAGTGATCTCTGTATTTCCTTGTAATTTCAGAGCCCAGGGCTTCCCCTCGTGCCAAGTAACCAAGAGAGCATTCTCTAGGGGCAGCTCATTATTCTGTTTGGCTCAGAGTAAGTACATCATGCCAGTCACCTGCCTAAGCCCCTCCATTGCTACCCTGTTGCTCTGAGACCAAATAATAAAATCTTTAAACCAGATACCTGGCCCTTCTGCCTCACCATGTACCCCTCAGCCCTAAGCTCTGCAGGGTCCAGAGCAGGGGTGGCGGGCCTCTCTCAGATCCTCACGCTCTTCCTAGCAGGGCTTTAACGAGGCTTCTGCCTGCAACTTCCTGCCCCTTCCTCTCTTTGAATTACTCAACCTTCAAATCTGCTCAAAGGTCACTTCCTTAGAGAAACCTTCCTGCTTTTCTAAAATAAATGCTGTGCTTTTATTTATTTATTTAATTCCAGACCATAAGCTCCCCAAGAGCAAGAAATGGGTTTGTTTTGTTTGAGATTGTATTCTCAGTGCTTAGTAATGGGCCAACACATGGTAGGTGCTCAATGAATATTTGACATATATAAGATTTAATTGTATGGAATAAAAACATTCGTTGGCTCCTTACTCCTTATTCATCGAGTAAAAACTTAAGAGTTGGAAGGGACCTTAGAGACCACTTATCTAACCCTTTCATTTTACATTTGGCAAATGAAGATCCAAAGGGAGATGATGTAATCTGCCAAAGGCAACAAGCAATGAACTAGCAGTTGGAACTGGCAGACAAGTAATTTCTACGCAGCATGAAGCTTCTTGTCCAGAGCCTTTTCATCCAATCACTGGTTACCAAGACCTTATTATGTTCCAGGACAGGGCTGTGACATCCAATGACACATGTTCATTAAGAGCATTCTGTCCGATCCTTCAGGCTTTGTGATTATAGTGCTGCCTTAGACAAAGCTTCAAAAAATAAAGTCTCTCACTGCAGGGGTTCTCAATTTAGCTTTTAACTGGGGTTCCTCATCCCTAAATTAGCTGAATAGTCTGATCCTCTGGTTCTTGGATGAAACTTTCAGCCTGCATTTCACCCTTTGCCAGATACATGAAAGATGTCAATTCTGCTCCTGCCACTCTTAACTCCTGGCTTGGCTGTGCCACACGCCTCAATGGTTGTTGCTATAAACCAACATGGCATCTAGAGCTTTGCCCTTCGGAGCTGCGTGGGAGAAAAAGCTAGGATGATCTGAAAGAGGAGCTAGAGGGGCTATTTATCTGGACAGGAACCTTGTCTCCTTTGTAGCAGATGCAGGAAAAGGGAGCTTGGGGAAAATGGCAAAGAATCATTTTACTCAAGAACCTGGGAAACATGAATTCCACCCTACCCCATCCCCAAAATTCTCTTCTTCCTTATGTTGGAATTTTAGAAATCTAAAGTAGGAAATTCAAATTGCAATAAATAGACTATGAGGATTCACTGTGATTCCACAGTGTGTAAACTTACAGGGATATGTGGCAGTGTAATTGTGACTTCATCTCCTTTGCCAACCTGAAGCTCTCCTTCACAGGAAGTGTCTATAGATGCTGGCTTAAAGTCATCTGAAGGGAAAAGCAAAAAAAAAAAAAAAAAAAAAAAAACATGTATCCAACTGGTTACTAAGCCTCCTGGTCATTCTTATTTAAGAATTAAAATTTGTTAGATAAATGGAAAAACACAAACGCAGAATTAAAAAAAAAACTATTTCATTGTGGAAAACTCCACATAAACAAAAGCAGAGAGAATAGTACAATGAGGCCCTGTGTCCTGTCACCCAGCTTCAAGAATTAGGAACTCAGGGACAATCCTGTTTTCTCTATACCTCCTACCTGTCTCCTATCCCTGCTGGATTACTTTGCTCTTATCACATTCCCAATATCCTCCTTCTGAAAGAGCTGATCTGTCAGTAGGAGACACAGCAATGGTATGGCAAGTGACCACAGAAATATGGAACTTCATTATCTAACACGCCCTCTTCCAATGTGTTGAGTCACATTTATTAGCTCCTTAGACAAAAACAAGTCTTAACCAGCATTAGGGCTGACGGATACCAGAAGCTTGTGAATCACAGAAGGATGCTCAGTCAACCCATCCCTAACAGCCAAAACTTACATCCAGAACATAGAGGGGACGTGCCTTCCCTCAACAAAGTCTGTCATCATGTAGAAAAGGAAGGTCCAGCATAACGACGATATGGACATTCTTTATGCCTCCTTTCCTCTGCTTCCAAACATAGATCAAGCTTTAACTTATACCAGGCCCACGCATCCCAATTTTATTCTTCACTCAAATGGGACTTGGTACTGAGTTAAAGTCTGGGTAGTACAGGGGACCTCAAAAAACAGCAGAGTCAAATGAGGTACGGAAAGCTGGAGGAGGAAGACTCTGGCTGCCAAGCGGAGGAAGCGCAGACTCCCAGTGACCAAAACAAAGAGAACGAGGAACGAAGGCTAAAGAACACGGGGAAGAAGAGAATGTAATAGGAGGGAGTCCATAAGGCTCAGGAGCAAACGGGAAGAGTCCTTTAAACGTGAGGACCCCCGTGGGGTCCTCAGAAAGGGGGATGAATTCGAGGGAGAACTGGAGTCTGACGTGGGGTCAGTCTTTCGGTAATAAAGAGGGGTAAGTTTCGCATAAGGAAGGGCTCGGTGGGCGGATGAAAAACAAAGGAGCCAATAACCATCGGAAGAAGTATTTGGGGCCACAAGGCAGATGGAGAGTTGGCACTGGCGAAGGGTTTGGCTGGGAGTGAGCTGGAAAGGGGGGAGGGGGGATCGAGGTCCAGGAGGATCTGGGAGAAGAAAGAAGGGAGCTGACGTAGGCAGGAGGTCCTCTGGGCTTTGGGGGGCCGTGGGAGAAGAGGAAGGGGCAGGGTTGGCAAGAGGCGGCCGAAGAGTACAGAGGGGAGGGCTGGCTTACAGCGAATGGTGTGGAAAGAGGCCCGGGGCCGCTTCTCGAAGCTCTCCCCGAGCCGCAGGCAGTGTTCCTCGCGGTCCAGCAACGGGTTCGCGGTCCCGTTCATGGCCCCGCACGAGCCTAGCGCGCGGACCGGCGCTCTCCTGGCGCGGCCGCGGCCCGAGCTTCCGGCGCCGGCGTCCGGGGAAACGAAGCTCCTGGGACAGCGCTCGGAGGCGCACAGCGAGCCGAGCCGGCGCCCACCCGGGGCCGGAAGCAGGTCCTCTCTGCGGCGGGGTGCGGGAGAACTGCGCGGAAGCAGGGCCGCGGGACTTCCGGCGTCGGGGAGGGACCTCTGGGTTCGTGGCGGAAGTGGCGGGGGCGGTGCCATGGCCAGAGGATTCGGCCGGGAGAGGTTCCGGAGGCAGTCTTGTCCCCGGGCGGAAGCTACCTGATTTGGCTTACGAGGCCGGGGCCAGGCCGAGGGCTGCGTGCGTCCGTCCCTGCCGGTTCAAGTGAGTGTAAGAACTGTTGACGGTGAGCCCGAGCGCGGCGAACTAGATGAACACGGGCCTGGTGGCCAATGTGGCCGGCTCCCCGCAGGGCTTAGGCGGCCTAGTTTCTCCCGAGCGTCCGGAGCCCTACCGACCCTACCCTGCGCGTCACTGGCCTCTTATCCTTCACGCGTTAATGGAGGAGCGAGAGCCTCAGCCCTTGGAAAACGACGTTTCCCTCTGGCTCGTGAGATTGGCTTCTTGGGTTGTGCGATCAGAGACTCCAGCCGCTGGGCTTAGCTACAAATTTCCCCCCGAAACTGAGTCTCGGATCCTTGGGAAACGATCACCCCACTTGACCACCCGTTGCCAGTTCGAGAAGCTGTTGTGATTGTTTTAAGTCACCCTTTCACGGGCACTAAAAATTGATGTTTCGCCTCTAAGATTTCTCAGCCAATTCTTGGGGGTGTCCTTTTTCTTTTTTTTCTTTTTTTTTTTTAAATGTTTTATTTATTTCTAGGAGAGAGAGAGAGACAGCGTGAGCAGGGGAGGGTCAGAGAGAGAGGGAGTCACAGACTGAAACAGGCTCCAGGCTCTGAGCTGGCAGTCAGCACAGAGCCCGACGCGGGGCTCGAACCCACAAACCGCGAGATCATGACCCGAGTGAAAGTCGGACGCTTAACCAACTACGCCACCCGGGCGCCCCGGGGGGGGGGGGTGTCCTTTTTCTAAACGAAACAGATTTATTAATAGTTGACTTGTTCTGGTTTGAACTAGAGTTTGGTGCGTGAGAGCCCTGGCCACTGAATGTAAGCCCTCTGAAGGTAGGGACTCTGTTTTGCGCTTCTTTCTGACCGACCTCTTGTATAGTCGGCAGGGTTTTTGTGTAGAGTCACCGTCTAGTATATGGCGAATTGAACTGTTTGGTGAAAGAACTGTTCTAGAGCCGCTAACCAGCGTCTTAAAAAGTCTCCTAGTACCATTAACCGGAATCTCCCTTTTCCTGCAAAGGACCCAGTGCTGCTTGAGGCTTGAGCCCAAGGTGAAGAATCACATTTGAAAAAGAACTTTCCTATGACTGCAGTATCAGCTTGGATTCCTCAGGCTATTCAGAGTCAGAGGACCTTCCGCAGTGTTAATTATCAACTTACGAGATGGCTTCTTTGCAAAGGAAGGGGCTGCAGGCAAGGATTCTCAGCTCTGAAGAAGAGGAGAAATTGAATAGAGACCAAGCGTTAATGTCTGATTTTAAACAGCAAAAACTGGAAAAAGAGGCTCAGAAGAACTGGGACCTTTTTTACAAAAGAAATAGCACTAACTTCTTCAAAGATAGACACTGGACCACCAGAGAGTTTGAGGAGCTCAGATCATGTAGAGAGGTAAACTAATATTGCACCTTGTTTGAGTTTTTCATTTAAAATGTGAAGAGGAGTGTTTATTGCCTTCCTATGGGGAATGTGAGGTAGAGAATTTGTGAGGCAGAATGCTTTGTTCCTTAGAGATGCACTGTTGGGTCTCCAGTGGATTTAGTAGGTCCTGGGTTATATATACGTAGGAAAGAGAGCTTTCGAGGACATTTTCTATTTCTTAAAGCTAGTCTGAAAGTCATAAATATTAAATTCAGTGTGACTTCAGTGATAAATTCAGATTCATAATAAAGAAGATGAAGGCCACTTTACCATGGCCCTTTTCTAGAACTTTACATGTGTGTGTAATTTAAGTCTTATAATAACACTATGAAGTAGGCATCATTGTTACCCCCCCCCCCGTGGGTAAAAAGGGGCACAAAACTCTTTTAAGAATTTGGGGCGCCTGGGTGGCTCAGTTGGTTAAGCGTCCGACCTCCGCTCAGGTCATGGTCTCACGGTTCGTGGGTTCGAGCCCCACATCGGGCTCTGTGCTGACAGCTCAGAGCCTGGAGCCTGTTTCAGATTCTGTGCCTCCCTCTCTCTCTGATCCTCCCCTGCTCATGCTGTCTCTCTCTCTCTCTCAAAAATAAATAAAATATTTAAAAAAAAAAAGGAATTTGTCTGCTGATAAAACACGATGAGGGGGAAAGTCCAGATTTGAGTGCAAGCAGTTTAGTGTCAGCCTGTTCTTTTAACTCTTATGCTGTGTTCTCTTCTTTTTCTTAATGTGTTATTTATTTAAGAGAGAGAGAGAATATCAAGGAGACCCCATGCTCAGCATGGAGCCCAACTCTGGGCTCTATCTCATGACCATGAGATTGTGACCTGAGCTGAAATCAAGAGTCGGATGCTCTGGAGCATCTGGATGGCTCAGTTGGTTGAGCACTCGACCTCGACTCAGGTCATGAGTTTGTGGGTTCCGGCCCCACATCAGGCTCTCTGCAGTCCGCGCAGAGCCCACTTTGGATATTCTTTCCCCTCTCTCTCTGCACCTCCCCAGCTCCTGCTTGTCTTTCTCAAAAGAATAAACCATTAAAAAAGGGGTGGGGCTGCTTAACCAACTGAGCCACCCAGGCGCCTCTGCTGTGTTTTCTTTATACCAAGCTGCCCAGTGTTGGACGACAGGTAAGATATCAGTAGTAGCTTTAGGTTCTCAGTTCACTTGTTTACTGTCTGCTCCAGAGGGGCAAAGACCTTGCCTCTCATGTTTGGAGATATATTCTTGTAGTTTGATTTCTCTATGATGCAAGTGACTTTGCATTCTCTTTCTCCAGTTTGAAGATCAAAAATTGACTGTGCTTGAAGCTGGCTGTGGTGTTGGCAACTGTTTATTCCCACTTTTAGAAGAAGATCTGAATATCTTTGCTTATGCCTGTGACTTTTCTCCAAGAGCTGTCGAGTATGTCAAGGTTGGTGTCTTGTCCATGTATTCTGTCATTTTGCTATTTTCTTAGATTTCTTTGACCTGCCTTCTCTGCCCATTTGCTTAATTCTAGTTCACTCTTTGAAGCTAACCAGCTATGACCACCATGAATGTGTTTTTTGGTTTACATATATGTATCATACTTACAGAAGAAGCACAGCTTTGGGGCACCTGGGTGGCTCAGTCAGTTGAGCATCCAGCTCTTGATTTCAGATCAGTCATGATCCCAGGGTCGTGGATTGACCCTGCATTGGGATTCTCTTTTTCTCTGCACCCCTACTCCACTCGTGCTCTCTCTGTCTCTAAAATTAAAAAAAAACACCGCTTTATTCAGAAAAGTAGAAAGAACTATGAAAATGCTACCCATATACTTCTACCCAAATTGAATGATTGCCAGATTTGTACATTTGCTTCATAGACTTTTTTCTTTGCTAAAGTATTTTAAATTATATGTCTGCATACATATTCAAAAAATAAGGACTTTTTCTGCATGACAGCAGTATATGAACTGTAATCCCCTAATGTCATTAATCTTCAGAATGGATTTAGATTTGCCTAAATAGTTCCAAGTATCTTTTATAGCTGTATTTAATCAAGGACTAAATCTTGTACTTCTTCAGATACCTTAAATCTCCTTAGCCTAAAACATTCCTTGACCTTTTGTCCACTGGCATTGAGCTTTTGAAGAGCAAGCCATTTTCTGTAATTTGGTCCCACATTCTGTATTGGTCTGATTGTTTATTCATATCATTGTTCAGCTTGTTCCTTTATTCTATTTCCTTTACTGTAAACTAGAAGTTAGATTTAAACCAGATAAAATATTTTTTGGCAAAAATACTGTAGTAAGTGATGTTGTAACTTTGATACTGTGTCCTGTCAGGAGGCATTAATGTCTGGAAGCCACTAGCTAGTGATGCTAGCTTTAGTTTTGATCTCTGGGTTAAGGTAGTAACTACCTAGTTCCTACCTAAAAAGTACCTTCCTGGGGCACCTGGGTGGCTTAGTCAGTTAAGCGTCCGACTTAGGCTCAGGTCATGATCTCACGGTTCGTGGGTTTGAGCACGGCGTCGGGCTCTGTGCTGACAGCCAGTTCAGAGCCTAGAGCCTGTTTCAGATTCTGTATCTCCCCCTCTCTCTGACCCTTCCCTGCTCACACTGTCTCTCTCAGAAATAAATAAAAAACATTAAAAAAGAAAACTACCTTCCTAAGGGGTACAAATATTTACCTTTTGCTAGTAACAAATAGAAGGGGGCTACTTGGGCAAATATCTAACTTTCCATCAACCTTCCACAGTTGTAGCATCCATTAGAAGTTTTTTTTAACAGCGGTATTACATTGTACTGTAACTTGCTTTCTTCACTTCACATCATATCTTGTAGAGTTTTTATTTATTTATTTAGTCTCAGTACATACAGGTCTACTCTATTTTACTTAGCTGTTGTAGTATTCTATAGAATGGATATACTGTGTTTTAACAGTTACCCTGTTGACATTTGTTTAAATCATTTCTAATTTTCTACTCTTACAAATAGGGTTGATGTAATCAGCATTGTGTGCCACACCCTAAAACACGTGTGTGCATGTTTTTTTGGGGGTGATGGAAGAATTCCTTGGAGAAACAGTATACACATTTAAATTTTAATATTTAATGTATATATTTTAAATTTTAATATATGTTTTAATATGTAGCTACTATTCTGTCTATGCCCTCAATGTTTGATATCAGTCTTTTTTATATCTTCTAATCTTATGGGCAGAAAGTGATACCCTGTATTTTAATTTGTTAGCCCTTATATATGTAAATAAGCATTAGTTTTTCTTCTGATTGTGAGTTTCTCTATTCCACATATATTTATTGAGAGCCTAGTATGTGCCAGTCACACAGTTCCACACACTGGGACTAAGTAGTGAACAAAACTCACACAAAGAAATCCCTCAGGTAGAGCTTGTATTATAGTATGAATCGCCTGTTCATAATGTTTGCTCATTTTTCTGTCATTTCCTTATCTTTAGGGTATATTCTGGATATTCTGTTTCATTTTTTTACAAACATTTCTAGCTTATTTAGCATTGCTTTATGGTTTGTTTTTTGACGGGATTTAAACTATGTGCAAATTTATTGATTTTTCCCTAAGGTTTTAAGCCTTGTTTAAGAGTTCTATAACCTACATATTTTTAAAGTTTTGGTTCTTATGTTTTTTAATCTGGAAAAATCTTGGCCATTATTTCTTCAAATATTTTTTTCAGCTCTGTTCTCTCGTCTTCTGAGATTCTAATTACATGTGTACTGTACCATTTGCTGCTGTCCCACAGCTCTTGGATGGTGGTTTTTTTGTTAACTCTTTTTCTGTTTGCATTTTCAGTTTGTATAATTTCTTTCATCCTATCTTCAAGTTTATTGACTCCTTAAGTAGTAAACGTTCATGTTGATGAGCCTTTCAGAAGCATTCTTCATTTTTATTACTATGTTTCTGGTTTTTAGTTCATCTAGTTGATTACTTTTGTAGTTTTTATGTCTCTGCTGAAATTACCTATTTGATCCTGTTTTTCCTGTCTTTTTCATTAGAGTCTTTAACTCATTAATTGCAGTTATTTTAAACATCCAAACTTTTAGTTCCTATATCTGTATCATATTTGAGTCTGGTTCTGACTATTGCTTTGTCTCTTCAGACCATTTTTTCTTGCCTTTTGGTATGCCTTGGACTTTTTCTTTTGCCAAAAGCCAGGTATGTTATGTAGGGCTATGGATACTGAGGTAATAAGGATTTGTAATAATCTAGACAGGAGTTGAGCTGTGTTTGAAATCTGTTATTGTTAACAGTTACCTGTGAGGTTTATTGTTGCTATGGATACCGGAGACTTCAGAGTCCTCTGGTGTCTTGGTTTATATCTCCCCTTTTGGCTTTGGGTCTGCTCTTCATACTGTTCCTCGTAAAGACCCCATCTCTTGGAGCTTCCCCCGCTGCAACCCACTGTTGTTAATACCACTGGACACTTGGTAAGGTGTGGGAGAAGGGATTCTTACCTGATGTTCTGATTCTCAGTTTTTGAACTATATAGTGGGCCTGTGTCTCAGGAGTGTGGCCTTCACAAGTCTGTCTGCTGCTCTAGGGTTAGAGCTTTCCTCTCCCTTTCCTCCCTCAGGAGGTATATTCTAGCGTCCTCCTCTATGGTCTGGAGGCCATTTTCCCTTCAGATTAAGACTAGGTCTTTTTTTTTTTTTTTTTTTTAATTTTTTATGTTTTATTTTATTTATTTCTAGGAGAGAGAGAGACAGCATGAGCAGGGGAGGGTCAGAGAGAGAGGGAGATACAGACTCTGAAACAGTCTCCATGCTCTGAGCTGGCTGTCAGCACAGAGCCCGACGCGGGGCTCGAACCCACGAACCGCGAGATCATGACCTAAGCGAAAGTCGGACGCTTAACCGACTAAGGCACCCAGGCGCCCCAGATTAAGACTAGGTCTTAACAGAAAACAAACAAACAAAAAGACTCGGTCTGGGGCGTGCTGGCTCAGACCAAAGAGCATGTGACTCTTAATCTCAGGGTGGTGAATTCAAGCCCTAGGTTGGGTGTAGACATTACTAAAGAAAAAGAAAAAACTTAAAAAAAGATTAAGAATGGGTCTGGGCAGAGCAGTTTCCTCCCTTCTTGGCAGTGGCAATCCACCAGTACCCTAAGGCTACAGGCTGCAGGGGACCTTTTCCCCTGTAGTTTAAATCTTTTTCTCCTTAAAGGAGATGAGAAAGTTCAGCATTAGATGGAGCACAATCTCCTGCGTGAGAGCCCCGTGATGTTCTTGGAGGAAACACCTATAAAAAGATGGGAATGTCCCTATTACTTCAGCCCCCAGAGGCTTCACAAATCACATCCACACTCAGTCTGCAGCAATTTATCAAATTTCTAGTTTTATCTTTCCAGTGTGAGGGTTTCTGCCTTAGGTAAACAAGTGCTTCGGTTCTGTCTCTCCCAGAAGGCACTTGTCTGTCTCCAGATTTGGGGATGGCTGATGGTTCTTTGACCACTATTCTTTGATGGGTTCACAAAAAGGTCATGACGTGGCTGTCTGTCCATCCTTTTTCTTATTATAAGGATGGGAACTGATTTTTATACCACTGTACATCTTTGAACTGAACCTGGAACCTTTAAGCCACCTGACCAATTATCCTTTAACACAAGTATATAGCTAGTTGTTGTAACACAATAAATTGAATGAGAAAAATTCATTTTTCTTCCCTGATAATTATCATTTTATTATTCTCTACTTTTTTTGATACGTCATCTTTGTCACTTGTCTTTTGTCATATGCGTTACTAAATTCCTCTATATACATGGGTCTGTTTTGGGGACTCTGATTTGTCTTCATGATCTATTTGTCCCCATTCTCAAGCCCCATTGTTTCAGTACTGCATTATGTAATCTGCTTTGAAGTCCAGTAGTGTACCTCCTCCATTGTTCTTCCATTTAAAAATTGGCTTGGCTGTTTCTAAAGTTTTTTGCTTCCAGATCAATCAAATTCGCCTTTGTGTCAAGTTTCTAGAAATCTTTTGGGATTCTATTGAGATTGCATTGGATTTAGAAGTGGATTTATAGATAGAATTGATGTGTTTTCAATATTGAATCTTCCTGTCCAGGAGCTTTGTATTTATTGGAGTCCTTATTTACATTAAAGAAAAGTTTGACATTTTTTTTTTTATAATGGTCTTATAATGTCTTAGATTTTATGATATTCTTTATAAGAGTATTATATGTATCTTTTTTGATAATGCTCTTAAACCCACCATCCAAAATGTACAGGAACACGCTTGTAAAAAAAAAAAAGAAGAAGAAAAGTTAGGTTTATTTAACTTGCTGTCCCAAGGAACAATATGCCCAGAACTGTGGTAGCATCTCCATGAGTGGATTGGGAAGGACTTCTTAGTGGATTTAGGCTTGTAATGGGTGATTTCAAAGGAGGATTAGGAAGCACAGGTCAGTTTTGACTTATCCCTTTAGAAATATGTGCTGCTAGAATGGTCAGGTTTGAGCATCTGATAGCCTGTGTTCTCTCCTCAGTTAAAGATGTGTGGTTAAAATGAAACTTTGCCCCTCCTAGTCATATTGAATACCACATGTGTTAGCGTGCATATGACGCATCACTCAATTTTACCCAGTAACAAAGTGATCTTTGATTTTTGTGTAGCAATGCACAAGTGGAAATAGGCTCTCCTTTTATTTTTTTCCCATTGGATCTCCTTTTGATGCTGTATTTTTCTGTGTGTATCAACATGGACGTTGCATTAAAATTCTTTTCTTTTTCCCCCTTCTCTAGCAAAATCCTTCATATGACACAGAAAGATGCAAAGTGTTCCAGTGTGATCTAACCAAAGATGACCTTCTTGAACATGTGCCCCCAGAGTCTGTGGATGTTGTCATGTTGATATTTGTACTCTCTGCTGTTCACCCCGATAAGATGCACCTTGTCTTACAAAACATTTACCAGGTTAGTAATTTGGAGCTCGGAGGTTGGACATCCTGATCTTTTGGCTTACCTCCTCTCTGAGGCTCATGTCTAGATTCACAGAGTCCCCTCATTCTCACGAGATATAGGCCATGCGGTCAGTGTATGGAAGGGGTTCTCCTATGTAAAACATTTACTTTGAATTCTGCTTTGTCTGGTAGCCATCACTGTTCTTCAGCTTGGTCAGCTTTGGAGCGAGGATGATTTGGCAGTTACCTGGCCTCTGTGCATGGAATAAATGCAGGTAGTTCCTGCTGTAAAAGGAGAGGAAGGTACAGTTCAGGGTCCAGCATGCAGAGTCTGGCTTCGGAGTGCCTAGAGACAAAACCTGGCTTCCCTGCTTAGGCAAGTTCCTTCACCTCCCTGAGCCTCAGTTTCATGACCTGTGTAATAGTGAAATGCTGGATTGTATGAAATATATGAAATATGTATAAAGCGCCCAGCAAAATACCTAGAATGGGGCAAGTGCTCTTTAAAAATGAGCCATCGTTGTCACTGTCACCATTGTTCCTGGAACAAGGAGAATCCAGACTGCTCTGGCCATCAGGAGGCTGCTGTAGCCCTCAGGAAGTAAAGCGTCATTCTTAAGTCATGTGACTCAAAACAAATCACCTCATCTTCCTTCCCTGGGCTTCAGTGTCCTTGACTATAAAATGGGGGTGTCAGGGTTGTGAGATGCAGGCGAGATCATGAATGAGGCTGCTCTGTAAACTACAGTAGAAGCTATCTTATCTGTGGCAACAGTGTTGATTAATTTAAAAATCAACTAAATAAAAAAATCATGAAAAAGGTACACTCTTACTTTAAACATTTTATTATAACTTAAAATTTGTTAACATTCTTCTCTCACTCTTGTAACGTCAAGCAATGGCCCTTTCTCTGAGTACGGGGCTATGTACCATCTTTCTTACCATCTTGTGAACCACATACATAGTAGAGTTTTGGCTTTTTTAAAAGTGGAGCAAAGACTTAAAAACAATTGGAAAGTAATGTGAGGGCAGATTTTTTTATATTTTTACCCAAGCTTACCTTTGATTCTCCCATACCTGACAGCAGTTTGTTCAGGGCTTCTCCATCAGGTCTTTCCAAAAATATTCATTGTACTTTCCATAGAAAATAAAAATGCTCTTTATTTGCATTGCATTGTTTATATATTCACATATAATTCTAAATCTAAGCACAGCTGGTGTAAGCAAGTTTGGGAACCAACACAAGTGACCAGTGGTAAGCATGCAGGTCAACTGGGGGCCGCTAAATGGCAAGGGCCCACATTCTAGAAAGCCTGTTAAGCCTCACCTGTTCAATGAGTCAGGGGCTTCAGTCAATCTGCTTTATAAAAGGGAGTGAAGAACATTCAGCAAGGTGAAAAAGTAGATGTTTTAAATGTTTTTTAAATGGTGAAACAAATTTCAAGACACTGGAAACCTTTTAGGGAGTAATTATTCTCACATAAAACAATATTTTAAGAAATTCAGATATTGCCGTGGTGGTTTCAGCTCTCTGCTCGTGAGGTTTTGTAAGGTTTTTTCCTCCTTACTTCCCCTTTCCCTGCCCTTGGTATCTGAGCAGATGAGAACCCAGGATATCCCACAAATGGGCATGGAACTGAAGCTGGGTAAAGAGGGAAGAGAGGGCATCAGGGAAAAGATAGTAGGATCCCCTGATTTGAAGGTCCAGGTGGGAGCAAAGGATGATAAAAGATGGGGAAGTAGAGAGCTGGAAAGATGGGGAAGGGAGATGACCAAGTGACTTGTATGACCCTGACAGACTGGAGGGGTTATGCTTTTTAGTGTTGACAAGACTCTAGGACATTACCATGAGAGTGAGTGGTTTAAAAGGGTAGAGGGACAAAATCTTGGAAAAGGTCAAGTCATTAAGAGGCCAGTGTATTTGGAGGGATAATCCACATATATTGAAATTACTCTGAACTAAGAATGGAGTAGTATCAGATAGAGTAGGATAGGAGAATAAACCAGAAACATTCATCATGAAGCAGGCAAATAACCCTGGAACTAATAGATGACAGTAATAAGGAATAGCGGATGATATAATCTGGTGACAGAAGATTCAGAGCTAGGGATTTTAGGGAGGGAAGAGAATACACAAGAAAGTAGCAATGAGAAACATGGAGGGCACCAGTGGAGCCCAGTGGTACAAAGGTGAGGAGAGAAAACACACCCATGACTTGAGAAGCTGCAGGGAAAACAGTGTCCTCAGGGACCGTCTGTTAGCACCAGTACGTGAAAGGAACATTCAGAAGAGGTGGATACTAGTGATTTCACTGATGAAGGGTTTCAGGGATTGGGGAGAAGTAGCTGATGGGGACAAAATAAGGAGCATTTGGAACTTGATGGGGTGAGAGCACCCACTATCAGTATTTCTTTTCAGCATTATACTTGCGGTCCAAATCACCTCAAAAAGTCAAGAAAGAAAATGAAAGATGGGGAAAAAATAGGGATGAGAGACAAAACTCATTTGCAAATAATGTAATTGTCTAATTAGAATATATTAAAAGACTACAAAAGTTTAAGATGAGTGTATTGTACTTGATGTCACAGAGCTATACACCTAATGAAGAGTAACGCATTGTGCAATCTTACTTTTCCATTTAATATTATACATTTTTTATTTTTTTAATTAAAAAAATTATTTTGAAGTTTTTGAAAAGGGGGGAGAGAGAATCCCAAGCAGGCTCCGCACTGTCAGCACAGAGCCTGATGTGGGGCTCAAACCCACAAACCGTGAGATCATGACCTGAGCTGAAACCAAGAGCTGGAGGCTTAACTGACTGAGCCACCTATGCACCCCTTGTACATTTATTTTTTTGTTGTTTTATTGTTTGGGGGCTTTTGGTAGGGTTTTTTTTGTTTGTTTGTTTTTTAAATTTATTTATTTATTTATTTATTTCTAGGAGAGAGAGAGAGAGCAAGCGTGAGCAGGGGAGGATCAGAGAGAGAGGGAGACACAGAATCTGAAATAGGCTCCAGGCTCTGAGCTGATATCACAGAGCCCGACACGGGGCTCGAACCCACGAATCATGAGATCATGACCTAAGCGAAAGTCAGACGCTTAACCGACTAAGCCACCCAGGCGCCCCTTTTTTTGTTTGTTTGTTTTTTGAGCAAATCAGCAAGGTGATTCTAAGTTTACATGAAAGAACAAAGGTCAAAATACTTCTGAAGAAAAACAAGATGGGAGAAATCTATACTCTACCAGATAAAAAGACTTCTTACTGCTACAGTAATTAAGACGGAATGGTGTTAGCAGAGGGACACACTGAATGTGATAGCTTACAAATAGATGCACGCATATGTGGAGATTTGATGTATATTAAAGGTGACAACGAAGATCATTGGGAAAATAGGGACTGTTCAGCAAGTGATGCAGGGACCACTGGGTGTCCATGTAGGAAAGAATGATCATACTCCTCCTACACATCCTACACAAAAATCACTCTCAGATGAATTAAAGACTTAAATGAAAAAGACAAAAGTTTAAGCCTTGCAGAAGAAAGTACAGGGAAAAATCTTTACGACCTCACAGTGGGGGAGTTTTCTCAAAAGATGACTCAAAGCATTCTAAGCATAAAGATGATTATAATAAAAGTAGGAGTTTCTGTTCTTCAAAAGACAATATAATACAGGGGCGCCTGGGTGGCTTAGTCGGTTAAGCGTCCGACTTTCGCTTGGGTCATGATCTCGCGGTTCGTGGGTTCGAGCCCCGCGTCGGGCTCTGTGCTGACTGCCAGCTCAGAGCCTGGAGCCTGTTTCAGAGTCTGTCACTCCCTCTCTCTCTGACCCTCCCCTGCTCACGCTCGCTCTCTCTTTCTCTCCTAGAAATAAATAAATTTTGAAAAAAAAAAAAAAAAGACAATATAATACAAAGAAACTAAAAAAAAAAAAACTTTGGGAAAATAAATTTAAAGTCTATAAAATGGTTCAAAGATTAGTACCCAGAATACGTGAGGAATTCCTGTGAAAGAAATACAAGCAAATTAATAGAAAAATGGGCAGACGTGAATAGTCGTTTTATTGAAAAGAACACATATGAAAAGGTAACCTCAGCAACCCAGGAAATGTAAAATAAAACCCGAGTGAAATACCGCTAGGTTAACCGAATTAGAGACAGCTGACAAAGCCAAGTATTGCTGAGGGTATGCCTGTTCTTGATTTAAGTGGAAACATACAGAGGCACCTGGGTGGCTCAGTTAGTTCAGCATCTGGCTCTTGGTTTCAGCTAAGGTCATGATCTCATGGTTTCGTGAGTTTGAGCCCCATGTCAGGTTCTGCCCTGGTATTGCAGAGCCTGCTTGGAATTTCCTGTCTGTCTGTCTGTCTCTCTCTCTCTCTCTCTCTCTGCGTCCCCCCACTCATGCTGTCTCTGTCTCTCTCAGCATAAACTATTAAAATTTTTTTAATGGAAACTTACAGTGTATTATTTATATTTTGATAGTTCTGAAATTTTTCTTACTGAGTTGAGCCGTCTCAGTCCACACCTGGACGCTGTTGTAACCTTTCTTTAGTAGCAGATTTCATTTTCAGCAGTTACCATTTCTATTTTTCCCTCCAGTAGAGATCTTTTTTCAGCTGATCCGGAATGAGTTCACAGCAGTAATAGATTGCCATTTCTCTGCCATCATATGTACTGCCTGATTCATTCATTTGAAATCATGTGCTTCATCTGAAAATTATAGAAGGAAAAACAGTCTCTCAGCCTCTGACAATAAGACCCAAAGGTGGGCAGCTCTGAGGTGTCGCGTGAACAACCACAGTAAAAAGCTGTTGTAAGATACTGTAGAATGTTAACACTGAGCATTTTTAAAACTAGGTTTCAACTTAAGACAACCTTAAGGTTGAATTCCCTCATTTTGGGAATAGAACAAAGTAAAAATAGACAATTTGTCATCAGAAGACCTGGATATTTGTCTGCCAGTGCCACTAACTTGCCTTCAAATATCAGACAAGTCCCTTTGACTCTGAACCTTAACTTGCTATAAGTGGGTATAATAGACCTCTCCTTCCCTCCCCTCCCCTAACCTACTTCTTGGAGTTGTTTGGAAAATGATAGAACATAAAATGCCTGTTAGCTGTACAGTGCCATGATCAAAGGAGGCATTTGTATTGAACTTACTATTTTACAGACCAGAAAACACAGGGATGAAATTACTTGCTCAAGGTCATTCAACTAGTTATGGAAGAACTGGGATATGAATCAAGATTTCCAAATTCCTGAGTGAGTGTTCTTTCCACTGTCCCATGGAGCCTGCCTTCCTTCTGCAATTAAGAATAAGTCTTTTTCATATACACTAAATTTTTCAGAATTTTCTCGTTATCATTCACATCTTTTAAAACTTAGCATTCTAGACTAAGATAGGATATTTTTACCCAAGAGGCTCTTAATTCTGATGATATTTAAAATGCATCCCCTCATTGATAAGAATATACCAAATGAGAAAACTGCAGCTCACTTGGAAATATTAGGGACAATCTTTGATACCTTATTCAAGAGGAAATCTGTCAAACTGTATCAAAAATCTAATATTATATGTCATGTCTTAAAAATCATCTTATTGTTGTGATGAATCAGAATAAGGTTTAATTGGGGTGCCTGATGGGCTCAGTTTAAGGTTAAGTGTCCAACTTTTTATCTCCGCTCAGGTCCTTTTTTTTTTTCTTTAATGTTTTATTTATGTTTGAGGAGGGGGGAGGGAGAGGCAGAGAGAGAGGGAGACACAGAATCCTATGGAGGCCCCAGGCTCCAAGCTGTCAGAACATAGCCTGACATGGGGCTCAAACTCAGGAATCATGAGATCATGACCTGAGCTGAAGTTGGGACATTTAACTGACTGAGCCACCAGCACCCCAATCTCAGCTCAGGTCTTGATTTCAGGGTTATGAGTTCAATCCTTGCATTGGGCTTTGTGCTAGGCATGAAGCCTACTTGAAAAAAAAATACAGAATAGGATTTAATAAAATTAATGCCCCCTTTTAAGTCCACTCTTATTAGGTAGTCTTAATGCATTTTGAAAGAATTCTTACATAAAAAGCAAATGTCACAGCACGTACCACTTTCTCTTCATTCTGAAAAGCATGTGCTATTTGCTTTGTAAGATAGAGGTAGTTATAATACCCACACCCTGTGGTGCCACCTCCCAATTTTTGAGACACCTGCTCTGTGACACCTGTCTCCGAAAGGTTTTAGTGAGGGACTCCCAGCCGGGCCTACCCCTGATCCCCTTCCCTACACTACTGCACTGGCCTGAGGACCTCTTACACAGCACATGTGGGAAGAATACTCAGCGACCCCTCCCCCGCTAGCCTCTCTTCTCTTGTCAGTGAGAATGGCATTGGAATGACACCTCCCCTGGTGCCCCTCCAGGGCTAGCAGGTGTCTCTGATTCTACAGTATGATGCCTTTTCACCCAAATGTGAATCTTGACTGCCCCCACTTAGTGGCCGAAGTGTGAATCGTGTAGAAATCACTTACTCTTATGTAGTGTCTGTTTCCTTATCTTGCACGAGGATGATAATACTCCTTCCTCCCTCCCTCCTGTCTGATAAACTGCCAGGTGCTCCCAGTTATTAGCGTGGTGGGCAAGCTCTGCATAATTGTAGCACAGTGAAACCCAAGCTGACACTTAGGATGAGGAAAGCCAGCTAGAATCAGTAAGAAGCCAAAATGACATATTTTTTTAAAGGGTCAATTTGACTTCAGGGTCATATACTAGGAGATGGCTAGTAAAATGTCAGGAGAACATGCCTTAAGACTTTCATTTAATGTTAACATTTTAATTAATTTGACATTGAACCTTGTAAGTGCCTAAGAAGTATCCCTGTAATGCATGGGGCCCCGCAGGTCTTGCTGTACCTTCGATTAGGAGGCTCTTTTCCTTCAAACTCTGGATGGTTCACTCTAGTTCCTTTCATAATTATCACAAAGGAAAGTTATATTAATCCCTAAATCAATCAGATTGTATTTTATTTGAGTAAGTTTTATTTGCCTGGGTTCCCCAGAGTCACATGCCACCTGCTTTTGTTTCATAGGTATTAAAACCAGGCAAAAGTGTCTTGTTTCGTGACTATGGCCTATATGATCATGCCATGCTTAGGTTTAAAGCTGGCAGCAAACTTGGAGAAAACTTTTATGCTAGACAAGATGGAACCAGATCATATTTTTTTACTGATGGTAAGGTTAACGGGATTTTATGTTTACTTGCTTGCATTATCACCATCATACTGGTCGGGGATGGGGGACAGCTGCACATAGCACAGGGTGGAACAGTCTCCCGATGCACACCACTTAGCACCTGAGATGACAGGGACACAGCCCCGGCCATGGTGAGCTCACAGGCCTCCTCTGGTGACTGTGTCTAGTTAGTGAGCCCGGGTTAGTGGACAAACTCTGATGTGCCATGTGGCTGCCCTGCCAGGAAATGTGCTGGAAAATCAGGGCAAATCATGATCTTCACTTTGTTCCGTCACAAAGAAAACAAGTAGGATGGGGCACCAGCCTGGTGCAGTCAGAAGAGCATGTGTGACTCTTGATCTTGGGGGTCATGAGTTCAAGCCCCACGTTGGGTGTGGAGGTTACTAAAAATAAATAAATAAACTTAAAAAAAAAGGCAAGTAGAACAGTATAATGCCTGGAGATTACATTCCCAGGTCATAAAGACAAGAAACCTTTTTTATAAAGGTTTTAAGTTTGCAAATTTACTATAGGTGTCTTTAAAAAGTCACTTTTTTAAAAAAATTCCTCAACATGTATTCATTTTTCACAGACAGAGCACGTGCGGGGCAGGGGCAGAGAGAGAGAGAGAGAGAGGGAGACACAATCCAAAGCAAGCTCCAGGCTCTGAGCTGTCAGCACAGAGCCAGATACGGGGCCTAAACTCATGAACTGTGAGATCATGACCTGAGCTGAAGTCAGCTGCCCAACTGACTGAGCCACCCAGGTGCCCCTAAAAAGTCATTTTGGTAAGAAAAGCATCCAACCACCGAACATTATTTCAATCTTATACTAGATGTTTGGAACATTAGTTTTAAGCCTGCTTAATAATTTGGACCACAAAATAATTACCTTCTTAAACTCTATTTTTACAATCATTTGTATTTCCTGAAATGGAGTATTCTTTTGGATGTAAAATGAAATCAGAAATGAGTAATTACTGTTAAAACTGCAAAGTCATAAATTGTCAGGTGAAAAATTAAAAATTTCCATGCTCTGGTTCCTGAAATCTCAATTGTAAATAATTGAGAAGACGCAATGATGTTGGCAGAGCACGCCAGAGCAGTCTTTGGAGTAGTGCCCTAAGAGTCTTCATTTTCGCTACATAGCCACTCTGCTTTTTTCAGTTAACATGTAGTGATGTATTATTTGGGTTAAATTTCCTTAGGGTATATCACTAAACAGGGATTGTTCCCCCCACTCTGGTCACAGATTTTCCTCCTTCGTGTTAGGATAGATGATGCAGACTTGGTGAAGACTTTGTATGAATCTAGCCACTTTGAATTTTGTTTCTTTTTATTTCAGACTTCTGTATTTGAGGACTCATAATAGGGCAAGGTGACCATATTCCACGTTGTCCTTAAACTTTTCTGATGAAATTATTTAGTTGGGGATTTCTATTTGGGTGTAAGATGAGAAGTAGGAGTGTGTTACTTTCCCAAACAAAGCCCTGTATAAATTTTATTACTGGAGTTTTTGTTATAGTAAGAAAATACCATTACCCTCCCTTCCCCCCTTTACCACTGCAGAGCAGATGTAGAATCAAGACCATGAGCATTGCAGAGGCACCTAGGTGGCTCAGTTAAACATCCAACTTCAGCTCAGGTCATGATCTCAAGGTTTGTGAGTTCGAGCCCTGTATCAGGCTCTATGCTGACAGCTTAGAGCCTGGAGTCTGCTTTGGATTCTCTGCCTCCCTCCCTCCCTCTCTCTCTGCCCTTCCCCTGCTCATGCTCTCTCTCTCTGTGTCTCTCTTTCTGTCTCTCTCTCTCTCTCTCTCTCTCTGAAAAATTAAGTAAACCAAACAAAAGACCATGAGCATTGTTGATCTGCTTCCTTACAGAATTCCTGGCTCGGCTCTTCATGGACACAGGTTACGAAGAAGTGGTGAATGAGTATGTGTTTCGTGAGACGGTGAATAAAAAAGAAGGCCTGTGTGTGCCGAGAGTTTTCCTTCAGAGCAAATTCCGAAAGTGTCCTAAGAACCCAATACCCGTGACCCTGGGCCTGGGTCACAAGTCCTGACCTTTCATGAGGTTGACACTTGTGCCTCCCCTTGAAGAAGAAAGTTTAAAGTCGCTCTATTTTATATATTTTTATATTTTAACTTTTTAAAAATGAGTTTATATCATTTTTGTTAAAAAGTAGCAAGTGTTGTGTAGCAACATGGATGGACCTTGAGGGTGTTATGCTGAGCGAAATAAGTCAGGCAGAGAAGGACAAATATCATATGTTTGCACGTATAGGAGGATTAGGAGGAACTTGACGGAGGAACAAGGGGGAGAAGAAGGGCGGAAATGGTGGGGGAAAGGGAGAGAGGCAAACCATGAGAGACTTGAATGCTGACAAAAACTGAGGACTGATGGATGTGGGGGGAGGGGGGGTGGGCATGGAGGAGGACACTTGTGGGGATGAGCACTGAGTGTTATGTGGAAACTAATTTGACAATAAACTATTTGTAAAAAAAAAAAAAAAAAGTAGCAAGTGTGTGTGTGTATACTATAGAAATGCAAATAAAATTTCCAGACCTGAAAAGTAAAGAAAGTTTGATGGTATAATGGAGTGTAGCCATGCTGTCTGACTGAAACTCCATGAAGGGGAAAGCCTAAGTACTTAATGAGATCCTTGCCGTCACTCATGTGCGCTTGTAAGTGTGCCCCAGGCAGCATGTCAGGCGTTCCTGTGGAAAAATGAGGCCAAATAGACTAAAATAACACATCCAGATGTATTTTTAGCCTGAAGGATTGTTCTTTTCTTCTTTTTTTCCAGTGTCTCATATTTGCCCATTTTTCTCTGCTTCAGTTCATTTATGTGCCTCTTTGAGACCAGTATTTCACAAATACAGCTTTTGCTGGGACTTCAGAACCCACCACGGCTCCCTGCCTAATTCTTGAGACCCTCTGTAATTGAGCCAGGCCCCGGCCACACTGCCCCAGGGAGAGAGGGGAAGGCCATCTACCCGATGCAGCTTCTCCAGGAAGACGGTGGATGGACTGACCCAAGTCCCCACTGGGATATGAAGCAGTGGCTTGGGAGGTAAATGACCTACATGGCCCAAATCACACAGCTAGTGTCGCAGTGGCATCTGGGAAAATCCTTATATTGGTCTGCTGACCTGTTTCCCGAGCATTCCCAAATAATGCCTTTTCCTTTGTGACATAAAAGCAAAGTGCTGTTGGCTCGCTAACAAGAGACGCTGTAAGCCTTCATGTTTCCCCTCTGCAGAGAGCTTGTCTATGAAAACATTTGTCTAGAGTCCGTTGACTGGTCTGCATCTGCAGCAAGCTAAGGCCCTTGAATATCTGAGGAGGGAGGTCTCTGGCGGGAACGGGCTGCATAATAGTCTTAGCTGGTCTGTACGACTGGAATCAAGCCGCCTGGCTCCTGGAGAGAAGCGGGGCAGGCGTCGGGCTCAGGCAGAGTGCTGGCTGGCATCCTGCCCTCTGGGCCCAACTTCTTGGGAGGGGCCTCTGGGGACGGGGCAGGGGAAGCTAGAGGAGCCCCAGTCTCTTGTTGGTCTGTTGCTTCTCTTTTTGTACTCTCTTGAGGGCTGAGATGGCTCTTCTGTGAGAGTAAAATCGATGAGGAATTGTACAGAGTTTGTCTTTTGCAGTGGTGTTTTCTTTTGAATCAGCTAGTATAGATGGATCTATTGCAGGGCTCGTGGGCCCTCTCCTAGATCTTGGGTCAAGCCTGGCCCAGGACCAGCCGCAGGCTCCCCACTTTGGTCCAGGGCTCCTTCCTCTAGGCCTTCTCCAAGTGAAACCCACTCCAGCTTCAGCCCCAGGACACCCCTTCCACAGAAGTCTTTCCCTCAGTGAGATTTGACCAGTGTCGCTTGGGTTTCAGTGGCTGAGCTAATAAAAACAGGGTATTTAAAGTAGAAAGTAGGGAGCTGTGTAGGATAGTAGGGGAAGCATGGGCTTTTGTTACCAGAAGTCACTTGATATTGTGACCTCATCATTCACTGAACCTCATTTGTAAAATGGGGATAACTGCTGAGAAGCATGCTACTGGAGGGCGCTGACCCAAGGCAGACGTTCTCAAGAAAGCCGAGCAGGCTGATGAGGACCCTGGCTGTAAGAAAAGGCCTTTCCTTTACTAGTAGTTGACTGAGGGGACACCCATGAATGAGACTGACAGTTTCCTCCAAACACAACTTGGAGTTGTCTCCATCCACAGGAGCAATTATGGCCCCCAAGTCCTACCCCGTAAATGAAAGGCTGCAATATTTTCACTTGGAATATTTAAAGTTGGCCTAAAAACATACCCAACTTTGATACTGAGCAAGGTAACCTCTCAGCAACCCTACTTTAAAATACATTGGGTGTAGGGGCACTTAGCTGGCTCAGCTGATGGAATATGCGACTCTTGGATCTCGGGGTTGTGAGTTTGAGTCCCACATTTGTTGTAGAGATTGCTTAAAAATGAAATCTTTACAATAAACTATATTGGCTATAAAGTATACTACTTGAATGAGGTGACATAGTCCATCAGAGTTTTAGCTATGATCTAATGGATTAGATTAAGAACCAACAAAAATAAGGCTAAGCAAAATAAAAACATAGCTTCAGTCCCACCGCTCTGTGCCTTCCTGTTGATTCTCCCTAGGCAAGCCTCTATCACTGCACCACAGGTTAAGGCGGTAGAGCAGCAGGGTTTTCCACAGTTTGGGCTCCAGGGACCCAGGAAAGCAAAGCCACAGTTTAGTAACAAAACTAACTGCATTAGTTGAATCATAGACTACAAAGAGTTCACCAGCATTGCCTTGTCTTCACACACAGAAAACAGCTCCAGAAAGGTAGTGAGTACTAGTTAACAGTGCTGTAGAAAATCATAGAAGTGCCATAGTATTATATAGTTAATATCTATACTATATATTGTATAGTATATATACTATCTATATAGTATATATATATAACATCTATACTATATATTGTATAGTATATACACTATATATATAATATCTATACTATATATTATATAGTATACATACTATACAATACCCTATACTGTACTATACAGTACTAGGTATTTCTTTTGAGTATTTGATATACTACCTAAATAATACTAATAAAGTTATATCACGTGGTTTGGAGTTTGGAAATCTGGGTTAAAGTCCAGGACTTGGCCCACACAAGTCACCAGCTTTTCAGAGTCTCAGTTTTCACATCTGTAAGGCTGAGCTCCTGCCACCTACAGTGCTGCCAGCAGCACTCACTTGGGAGTGCTTTGTTCACTAAAATGTGCCAGCCAAGTGCTAGTTATTTCTATTAGTTTGTATTCCCCAAGAAAATAACCTCTCCCATTATTATTAAATCCCAATTTCTCTTCCAGAAACCTGTCATTTTTAAGCGTAGGGTCTTCAAAAGAAGCTGGGATTTGGATATGCTACCGCAAGGTGGCGCTAGATGCTAAATAATCCCATTGGCCTTTACTCCCATCTTAGTGGCAGTTCTAGCAAGTCCATTTTTTTTTAATGTTTTATTTATTTCTGAGAGAGAGAGAGTGTGTGTGTGAGCAGGGGAGGGTCAGAGAGAGAGGGAGACACAGAATCTGAAGCAGACTCCAGGCTCTGAGCTAGCTGCCAGCACAGAGTCCGACGCAGGGCTCAAACCCACGAACTATGAGATCATGACCCGAGCCGAAGTCGGATGCTTAACCGACTAAGCCACCCAGGCACCCCAAGACATTTCTGTTTTAATTTCTAATATGGTAAACATCAATAGCTAGAACTCGCATAAATGAAAGTTCTTTGGAGTCACAATTTTAACAGTCTTTTTTTTTTTTTTTTTGGAGGTCAGCAGTCTGATATCAGCTTTACTGGGCCAAAATCAAAGTGTTAAGTACTGAAAGTACTTATATTTGGGAAAAAATACAAAATCATGTTAGAAAGCATGCCAAAAAACCAGAAGTATTTAAACAATTCAATGGTGGATGAAACGCTTAAATTTGGTTCTAACAAGGATGTCAAGGTAGGACAGTTTGGTAGCTGATTACAGAATAAACTCTACACGTAGGGGAAAACTGTTCAAAGCGGTAGGAAGGCAGTGAGCAGGCCTAGAAGGGGTTGCTATAACAGGCCAAGTGGTTAGTAAATGGACTTGGTTTTTTTAAATTATTTATTTTTTAATTTACATCCAAGTTAGTTGGCATAGAGTGCAACAATGATTTCAGGAGTAGATTCCTCAATGCCCCTTCCCCATTTAGCCCATCCCCCTTCCCACAACCCCTCCAGTGACCCTGTTTGTTCTCTATATTTAAGGGTCTCTCATGTTTTGTTCCCTTCCCTATTGCTTCACTTCCCTTATGTTCATCATCTGTTTTGTATCTTAAAGTCCTCATACGAGTGAAGTCATATGATAGTTGTATTTTCTCTGACTAATTTCACTTAGCATAATACCCTCTAGTTCCATCCACGTAGCTGCAAATGGCAAGATTTCATTCTTTTTGATTGCCGAGTAATACGCCATTGTATATATACACCACATCTTCTTTATCCATTCATCCATTGATGGACATTTGGGCACCCTGCATACCCTGGCTATTGTCAATAGTGCTGCTATAAACATTGGGCTGCACGTGCCCCTTCAAAACAGCACACCTGTATCCCTTGGTTAAATACCAGTAGTGCAATTGCTGAGTCGTAGGGTAGTTCTATTTTCATTTTTTTGAGGAATCTTCCTACTGGTTTCTAGAGTGGCTGCACCAGTTTGCATTCTCATTATGGATTTTTTCAATGTTTATTTATTTATTTTGAAAGGTGAGGGGTGGGGAGAGAACATGAGGGAGGGAGGGGGAGAAAGAGAGAGAGAGAGTGAGAGAGACAATCCCAAACAGTCTCCACACTGTCAGCACAGAGCCCGATGCGGGACTCAAACTCATGAATTGTGAGATCGTGACCTGAGCTGACATCAATAGTTGGACACTTACCTGACTGAGCCACCCAGGCGCCCCATCTCACTGCGGTTTTGATTCACATTTGTCTGATGATTAGTGCTGTTGAGAATCTTTTCATATGCTTCTTGGCCATTTGTGTATCATCTTCGGGAAAATGTCTATTCCAGTTCCTTCCATTTTTGTTGTTTGCCATTGTCATTGAGTTATAGGAGTTCTTTATATATTGTAGCATCCCCTGTTTGCTGGAG